GAGGTTAGGACCAGACACCATGGCCTAATCACGCCTGACGAGCCAATACAAAATTCGTTAGAAGTGAAGAATTCGCACATACTATGGAATGGTCGATTAAAAAATAGAGAGAACATTAATTAGAATAACAACTGTTAAAATTAAAAATTACAATTGATTAACCATTCGTACGTTGAGCACATTCCAACTGGATGGATCGATTCGTAATTGACTCGTGAACATAAATATTAGATAGACTACGGAATCGGAATTCTGCTTTCGGTTGTGATTATTATTAATTAATTATAATCTAAAACTTTTAGACTAAAAGAAATTATAAGTTCTTCCTCATATTTTTCTTTTGGCAGCCGAAAAGTAGATATTTCCCTATACAATTGCGAGTTAACATTTTAACAACACTCAGCCGAATTCTAATGGCCACCGAGAGGAAATATTCTCCGGTGGAGAAACTTTGCTTGGCCCTGTATTTTACTGCGACCAAGTTAAGGCATTACATGTTGCCTTCTGTGGTGCATATAATCGCCAAGACTGATTTGATAAAACATATGCTCACTCGCCCAATCATTAGAGGGCGAATAGGAAAATGGACAATGGCATTGGCAAAATTCACTTTCCGATGTGTGCCCCAGCAGGCCGTTAAGGGGCAAGCTTTGGCCGATTTCTTGGCGGCCCGCCCTTGTGTTGAAATAGAGGAGATGGATTTCCTCGAGGTGGGCACATTGAGTTTATTTCCATGGCGCCTTTATTTTGACGAGTCTCGAACATTTAACATGGGCGGGGCAGGTGTCATCATTGAAACGCCGAAAGGATTCCGAACTCATTATTCTTTTGAATTGGACTTTGATTGTACCAACAATCAGGCCGAATACGAGGCCCTGATCATAGGGTTGGAAATTTTGAAAGAGCTTGGGGTAAAAAGTGTGGCGGTCATGGGAGACTCAATGTTGGTCTTAAAACAATTCTCTGGCGACTACAAGGTGACTAGCCAAGCTTTGCTTGGACATCATGCGTTGGCTAGCCAATTGATAGAAGATTTCGATGATGTGAGACTCGCCCACTTACCGAGAGAACATAACACTCAGGCCAATGCCATGGCCCAATTAGCATCTGGAGTGGAAATCTCCCAGGGGCTCTCTGAGGAGCTTTTTAAAGTTGAGAAGTGATCTCTCCCCTCCGTCTTTGAAAGAGGGGCTCCAGCAGAAGTTATGGTGTTAACCATAGCACCAGAGGATTGGAGGCACGACATCGTGCAGTATTTGAAAAATCCAAATGGGTCACATAGCCAACAAATTCGGTGGAGGGCCCAATATTATGTGATAAGGGATGAAGTCTTGTTTCGCATAGGTTCCGATGACTTGCTCATGAAATGTTTGGGCAAAAAGGAACAACTCGTAGCAATGATCGAGGTCCACGAGGGGATATGCGGTGCCCATCAAGCTGGCATCAAGATGAGGTGGCTTTTAAGGAGGCACGGCTATTATTGGCTGACCATTCTCAAAGATTGCATTGAATATGCTAAGGGTTGCAAAGATTGTCAAAGACATGGGCCGATCCAACATGTTCTGGCCGGACCAATGAATCCGATTGTCAAGACTTGGCCTTTCAAAGGCTGGGCGATGGATGTGATTGGCCAAATCCACCCAAAGTCAACTAAGGGCCATAAGTATATATCAGTGGCCACCGATTTTTTCACAAAGTGGGTGGAGGCCGTCCCACTCAAGCAAGTTACTCAAGTCGAGGTGATAGAATTCATTGAGAAGAATATCATCCAACGATTTGGCTTTCCCAAGTCCATCATGCCTGACCGAGGAACGGCGTTCATGGGCGAGGCTGTTCAAGCCGCTGCGAGAAATTGGGGAATTAGGATGGTTCAATCCACCCCATACAATCCCTAATCAAATGGCCAAGCTGAGGCTAGTAATAAGGTGATAAAAGGGATTTTGGAAAAAAATGATTGATAAAAATCCCAAGGAATGACACTTTCTTCTTTCCAACTCTCTATGGGCGTATAGAACCTCGAAGAGGTCTGCCACGCAAACAACGCCATTCGCCCTCACCTATGGCCATGATGCCGTCTTGCCACTTGAGATTTCGGTTAAGTCCTTAAGAGTGGTTCGCCATGCCGAATGGAGTGAGGACGAATACGGGCAAGCCATGGCACAAGAGTT